GGGGGTTTCTGAAATCTATATTATTAGGGGAAAAAGATTTGAGTGTATTAGGCAAAGTGCCAGTAGCCATGGTAACCTCGGATTTTTCCATCTTCATTACAAGTTCAAGTAAAACCTTCATATAAAATCTAAATGAAAGGGTACATTATAAGTCCATTTTGAAATGTTTGCCTGGAAGTAAAACTTTGGACTGCATCCTTTTTTCTCCTCTGAACATTCTGGTTCTATGCGGAACACATTTTTCAAGTCAGATTTTTGTTTTCTTTCAAATTTTATTCCGTTTGCTCATACAGGGTGGGTCGTCTAGTGGTTAGAGCAAGGCATCGAGGCAACTGGTTTCCAGTCTCAGTCTGTTCCTGATCGGTCAGGGAGTGTTCCCAATTTTATCCAGGTGATTTGGGCAAATCCCATCATCTCTAAACATGCTTTTTTTTTTTTTTCCTTCCTTACCAATATAACAATGATGATAATTAGTGATGTTGCACAAGGATTCACTCAGCATTGGCCAAGGAGTCTCTCCGCAGAGCTCTTCTCTCTCCTACTCCATTTTCTCCTGGGTCTTGAAGCCAGACTGAGAGGTTAAGGAGAGGTAGAGGTTAGAGGGTGGCATGAATTGTCTGTTTTCCTAGCAAAGACTTGATTAGGAAATACAAATTAGACTGCTCGGTGTGGATATGAGCACAGTGTTGTTCCAGGAGATACTCATCATACTTAGACAATACTTCGGTGCCACTTGAGCGGATTAGTCCTTGCGCTGTGTCATCTTAAAGTGCTCTGGTTTCATCCAGTCATGGGAGGAGGCAAATTCTGTAGCTGCCTTTCATTTCTGGGCACTGTCTCACCTCAGGCCAGAAAGCCACAAACATTTTGAGGACTTCCTTCTCAAACAGTCCCCTCCGCTGTAGGCAGCCGAGCAGCACCTCAGAGACTCAACCAGAAGAAGACACCTCCACACCTCCAGCCTCTTCCTGGTCCACACAACGCAGCCTGTACCCAAGGCCCCCGTGCAGCACCTGGGTCTTTGCTTTTCCAAAACAGCACTTTTGTCCCCAAAAAGGGCTGTATCCTTTGCCCAGAGCAGCCCACAGCCCCTGCATTATGTTGGGCATGGCAGCTGCTCACGGTGGGCTAGCTGTTGCCCCCAGGGCACGCATGGCCCATGGGACTGGTGCATTTCCAGGGATGCTGGCACGGGTGCTGGTGGCACAGTGCGCAGGGACAGGGCCTTAACGCTTTTCATCCTTCCTAACGATGCTGGCAAACATTTTCCAGATCTGCCATTAGGCTGAAAGGAGACCCAGCTCCTGTTGAATCTGATTTCCCTTCTGCTCCGTTACAGTCAAAACTCCAACCTGCTGCCTCCTCGCAGCACGCTTCGGGCAGGGGAGGAGGGGGGCTCCAAACGGCATGGGGCTTTTTCTTTTTTTTTTTTTTTTGATACATCCTTCCTTCCGCTCTTCGCAATCAATTAGTGGGCAAAGACTTCCGAAAAGCTCCTTCCTCCCTAACCTTTCGCAGCCTGTTGCGATAATGACTCTGGAGAGCTCGACCTGGGCCTTTGCGTGGGGTTCGTTACCGTCCCGGGGCAGCGGAAGGTGACCTTCATCGCTCCCTCGTCTTCCTTTCCTACCCTGCAGCTCGGGCAGGGAGGGGCGGCCGCTGCTCCCCCAGCAGATGGGATTTTGGCTCCAGCATCATTCCTGCAGCCCCGAGTCTGGGGGTGGCTGCGGGGATGACATAGACCCTGGGGGGCGCAGGGGGCTGCCCTTCAAAATAATGATTGCAATTATGCATACCTCGAATCAAGACATCAAGAGGTGGAGGGAAAAGGGGCTTTCTGGTTTTAATTTGCAATTTCTTGCTCCGTCTCTCGCAAGGCAAGCTGCTTTCCAGAAACCAAGCTCCGAGCTGCTGCAGCTTCCCCTCAAGACACCGCTCATAACTGAAGCGATTTTTTTGCCAGCAGCGCTGGGTTTTTTCGCTCCCTCCGTGACACAGACACGCAGGTAGCACATACTCGCAGAAGTTTTCCCTGGCACCTGCAGCCACTTTCACAGCCCATCTGCCCAGGAACGGCGTCGTGGGCTTTTCAGGCAACACCTTGTACGAAAGCATCCCTGTTCTGTGGGGCTCCGTGGATGGGTCCTGGGGACAAGCACATCCCGCTCGGCATTTACACAAGGTTTTCCCCACGGCCCTGACAGCTCTCCCCAAACCTGGCAGGGTTCTCCCCCGGCACATCCCCATCACAGCCTCCCTCGTCTGCTGTTGCTCGCTGCGGAGCCAGCTCCTGGTGCTGCGGTCCCCCTGTGCCACACAGGTGACACTCGGGCACTTTGCTGACTCACATTGCTGTGCTCGGAGAGGAAACTCCCCAGCTAATTGTTTTTTCCTCCTCTGGGCAGCAGGAGAGGCGAGCCAGGCACCTCCAAGGCAGCGCTGCCACGCACGGACGCAGCTGAGCTGCGGAGCTGGACGTGGGGAGCTGCAGCCAGCGCCGAAAAACAGCTGCTGAAGCCTGCGAGCTGGCCCTGGCACAGCCCTGCACTGCTCAGGCAAGCCATTAAGCAAGCCATTAAATGCAACGCTTTAAACATCTCGGCCCAACATGGTCACAGCTGCAGTCGTGCAGTTACTTCTTCGAGTGCAAAGTGATCCCCCAGGAAAAAAAAAAAAATTAGGAAAAAAAAAAAAAGAGCATTTATTTAAAGTAACTGCCAAACTCGGGCAAGGCAGGAGATGTTTTTCTCCCCAACCATCACCCATCCCAGGAGGGTGTGAGCAGCAACCTGTGCTTGTGCTCCCCCAAGGCTCAGCACTGCCCCGTTTGCCCCCCAGCACCCTGCACCCGTTTGCTGAAGGCGCTTAATGGAAACCATCACACCCAAAGCCAGCGGAGAGCGACTGGAACCACTTTGAGGTGAGAAGCCTATTACTGGGTTATAAACCTCTCCCATCCTCCACAGGAGCCTTTCACGGGGCCAGCTAGAAAAATAATAACTCAAGCCCATGTGGTGAGAGGGAGAGAATACGGTGTCTCCAGGTAACAAATATTTGCTTCTTTCTCTATTGTTCCAGCCATAAAATGGATTTATTAAAAAATCCAGAGTCTGATTTCATTTGAATTAAATGTAGACGTGCCCCCACTGAGCGCTGCTTAATATCTTTAAAGCCACAAAGTCACAGCTGACTGCACACAACACAGAAGGCTCAAACCTCGAAGCCTGCAACATCCCAGCTCTGTTGGCATCGCATCGATTTACACAGAGCAAAGGTTTGCTGAGCAGTGCCTATGTGTGGCAGAGCCACCACCTCACAGTGGTGCTGTGCAAGCAGCTCTACTTCCAAAAAATTCCCCAATTCTTCTCTTTATCTTCTTCCCTTTGGGCCTGCAGGGGGATGCTCTCAGTGCTCTCAGCTTCTCCTCCTGGCTGGGCTCTGAGCAGCAGCCGTGCTGGGGAGGTGGTGCTGATCCAGGAGCTGATTGCCTTCAGGCAAGCTCCTAAAACACGTGAAATTTGCAAACTTCCACATTTTGCTTCCCTGCTTGCTCTGCCCAAACATCAGCCTCTCACCCCGCCCCAGCAACACGTGTTGGATGGAGAGCATTCCCTTTCCTGGAATCATCGCGATTAAAAATCTGAATTTTTAATCACAGCCAGTCATTAATAAACCCTTAATGAAGCCATGCGGGGGCATGGCTTTGCCTGAGACAGAGATAACAGCTGCTGCTTGCAGAACTCCTTAACCCGAGGACAAAAAGCCCTTCACTATGTGGATCTCCACTTTCAGGGCCCTTGCTTTCCTGCTTCCTCTCCTCGCCCTTGAAATCTCATCCCCGGCCACTGGAAGCAGAAGAGAAAGTCAAGAGACAAGCAGAGGACATGGTTCCCACTGCTTTGCCCCCTCCCTCACCCAAAATCTAATAAAGATGATTAAATTACATGTCCTTTCCTCCCATTGAAATCACCGCACACTGCTCGAATATTAGAGCTCAGGAAATAAGGCACGACAACTTCCCTCGTGAAACTTAAGAAGGCAGAGCAGGGGTCTGGAGCGACAGGCCTGCGAGACCGGGCTGCTCTAATTAAGAAATCACCCCGCTGAGCAGAACCTAATCTAAATAAAATAGAAAAAGGAACTCGGTTCAAGCCGTCGCCTCGCGCTCGGCCCCCTCCCCGCCAGCCCACCCCCCCCGGTAAGGAAGCCATCCAAGGCACAGCGAGTTTTTCTCTTCTGCTGTTTCTTGGAGGGCGAGGGAGGCTCACACAGAGCCCTGTGTGTGCTTGGGGTGGCCAACTTCCAAAGGAAAAATACACCGGCCATCTACGGCAAAAGGCTGCTCTTTTCTTTTTTTTTTTTTATTGGTGATTTTTTTTTTTTTTTACTTCTTTAAATGATACTTGGCCTGCTGTTTGCTAAGGAGGGGAAAAAAAAAAAAAAAACCAACTGGTGATTACATTGTTGGTATGGCTGGTCAGAACTGGTTTGGGACAGAAAACTGGAGGTGAGATTGCACATTCCCCCTCCCGAGAAAGTTTCTGCCTTTCGCAGAAAAATGTTGAAAATGTGAATCTGAATATTCAAAGTAAAAGAAAGGGAAAAAAAAAAAAAAGGAAAAAAAAAAAGGAAAAAAAAAAAAAAAAAAAAAAAACTTTTGCATTATAAAATTTACAACCAAAATATTTAAGCCAAAAATCTCAGCTGATCTGATCATTCACCATTTTCTCTCCTTTCTCATTTTTTCTTTTTCAAGACCCCGCTTGGCCAAGTCCCCTCCAGCCCCCTTCTCCTCTTCTCCCAACGTTTCTCTCCCCGTTCCCATTTGGAGCAGGCGGCCCAGGATGTGCTGAGGCCACTCCATCCATCAGCTGCTCCCATTTGTGGATGTCACGGAGTTACCACGTGAATCCCTATTTAGGAGCTCAGGCACAGAAAGATTTATAGCCATAAACAGAGGCGCACAGACATTCCCGTGTATGTTTTAAAAAAGCACTTACCTGCTTAGGAGGGAAAGTGCTGCTACTTGAAGGTTTCCTGGCCAGGCCTGAGAAGTAAATCAAACAAACATTATTTGCATTTATTCATAAATCCCAGCAGGTTGTTGTTCTTTTGGCTTCAGTGGAGTTGATCTGACTCGTGTCAGCAGAGGACCACGCTGGCTGAAGACACGTCCTGAAGGCACCAGGAGTGGGACGAGACCAGAGCACCAGAACCAAACACCTGATGGCATTGATTGAAGGCTGTCAAGCATCACGGATGCACCCACACCCAGGGGCTGCCGTTGCCAGCACATCATTTTATCTTTGAAAGGACAAGTGCCATGAAGCTAAGGGGAGCCCACCCAAGCACGTTCACCACGTACAAGACCACATCTGCAGTACCGAGACCAGTTTTCCCCCCTCAGAAGAAGACGTGGATGTCATGGCTTGAGTCCAGCAGAAGCCACCAAGCTGGTGGAGAGCTTAGGACTGGCCGAGAGGACAGGGTTTGATCAGCATGAGAAAGGCAGGGGTCAAATCTTATTGCTGTCTTCAACTGCCTCATCTGAGGGTAAGGAGAAGATAGGGGCAGGCTGCTCTTGGAGGGGACGGGATAAGAGGTGGTGGTGACACGAGGGGACACAAGGCATTAGGAATAATTCTTGTCACCAGCTTGCACACCCCCACGGTGCTCCCAAGCACCCTCCCAGCCTTGTGCTTGTCCCTGAGCCTCCCAAGTGCTGCAGCACGCTCCCAGATGCTCCCAGACAGGTTAATTTCACCCTTTCTTTTCCAACAATTAGACTATTTTTCCATAATTTGGCTAAAGCATTAACACTCCCAGTTCGGTTTCTTTTATGACAGCCCCGGGCTGCTGCCAGTCAGGTCCCCCCTCACCACACAACGCAGCAACTCCCTCAGCCCTCTCACAGCACTGCCCACATCTTTTTTTATGATGGCATTTCATTATTTTTTACTGCCACATTGTTATGGTTCTGAGTCTTCTGGAGCAGATTTGGAGATCGGCCGGCGTGGGAGCGTGCACGCCTGCGCGTACGCAGGTTGGCACACATGGGACGTGGGGTGATGGACAAAAGGAGCAGGGTCTCCCCCATGGTTCAAGCCCTGACAGCAACATCCAGGTGAATACAGATAGTAAAGCTGTGAAAAATTATGGTTACAGGGTGATGTGCATCACAGCACTCCAAAGGGAAGAGCTGTAAGGAGCAGGTCACCCCAGTCAGCTTTGCTGAGACCAGGATTGCCCTGAGACAGAAGTTTCTGGGGGACACCAGCACAAGTATCACGTCGACCCATTTATCTTGGCATCAAGGACACGGAGCTGGGGTTTCCTTGAGATCCCAGCCGTCCATGACTCCCGTCTGCATGTACAGAGGTGAGAAAAGAAAAAAAAAAGCAAACCTGTGCTGTGCTCCACTTTTAATTTTCTGCTCATGATCTACCCATATGCTCGTCCTGGCATTGTTATGTGCAGGCTCCAGTATCGCTGTGGTTCAGAACAACGAGGGCAGAGCACATTTTCCTGAGCAATGTTTATATCAGCATTTTCAGGCTTGTTTGATCGCGTCTCGCACTTCTCAGGAGACCCAGCAGGGAGATAAGCGCTGGATGCATTTTCCTAGCAATGTCTCTTGCTTCAGAGGAGGCCACCAAAGACGTCTGGGGAAGCAATGATTCCCTGGTAATGCCTCGGTCCAAGCTCTGACCTGGAACCGTGGGCTCTGCAAATACACATAAATCTTCAGCTCACGTCCAAATCATTGCAAGGTTCAGTGAAAACAGCAAAACTGCCAGTGGATCTAACCGAAGCTTTAATCCAACTCCAGCGTGATTTATGGGCTCAGGTGGAAACCATGAAGCACGGTGGCTTCAGCCCCAACCAGGAGGATGGGCTGCTGCCCCAGCCCAAAGGTGCTGTGGTAGGGTGCTGAGGAATCAGGGCAGCAAGCAGCACAGATGAAATTAAACAGCACAAACACGTCCTAACAAAACCTTCCACCCCTGTGCATCACGTGCTGAGCAAATGTAGGTGACACAAATCAGACCAGTGTCCTGCTCAAGGACACAGGAAATTAAACAAAATCAAAGAATACTGAGGGCAAGCAAGCAAGAAAACTTGTTGTTTCTGATTAAAAAAATAGCAATCGAGTAGCTCTATGATTAAAAGAATTCTGTGGAAATGCTATGCTATTTCAGGACATTTACAACAGCTTTTTAATATTTATTCCCCTCTCAAAATACCATCATGGATAGCATTTGACTGATATTTTTTTCTACCAAAAAAAAAAAAAAAAAAAAGAAAGGGAAAAAAAAATCTCAGTTTTCTAGAGAAGAAGGGGTGCTGCATCACCTTGGAAGTGTCACATCAACTTGGGAAGATCTTTCTGTTCCCTGCTGCCGAACTTGCCCCCAGCCAGGAGAAGGAACGGATATCTCCACAGAGCATTACTAAGGCTGTTTCCTTTCCTCTCTCTGGCCCTCGTTATCTATCTGCTTATTAGCTCAGAAAAACGAACCACAACAGCAATTAGTACAAGATCCCAGGTGACGTGACCAAGACTTCTGACCAGTCTCCATATCAGCACTGCGTATCACTGATAACCTCCAAGTAATCCCATCCCACAGCACGTGGAGTCCCTTTAATGGCTCAGTGGGGATGTGGCTGGGTGTAGGGGGGGATTCCTGCACCGGTACCACGCAGTTGGTGTTGGTGCAGGCCTGAAGCTGTAACATCTGCAGCCCCTGGTGCCAAATTCATCTTTTTCCCAATACTCAGCATCCCCCCTCCCATGCATGGAAATGGCCAAAGGGAAACAGTGCATCAGAATTTTTGACCAGCCCGGTAATCCCGGGCAGGACGTTATAGCAACACCTGCGAGGTGCTGTGGCTTTTCCAGCTGCGCCCCCTGTTATTGTGGCACGGGGCTTCCAGCGTCCCCGCGGGGCACCCGCAGACGGCCGTGAGCTAATAACCGCAGCACAGACGGTTTACAACACCCCGTGGGATTTTAGGGTGGCAAAAGGATGAGAAACGGGTCACCTGGCATGGGGCTGGGGACCGGGGAAGGAGGGAGATGCGATGCTCGGGAAAATATCTGATGCTGAATGAGTTCGGTTGGCTGCAGCACATCTGTCCTCGTCGGGTCTCACTATTTCTTGAGGGGGATGCTGGCAAAACCAGAACCCACAGGGCTCCTTCTGTCCCTCTCTTCCAACACAAAACCAGAGAGTTTCCCAGCTCTTATCGGAAAAAGTCAGCTTGCACTGAAAGGGTTTCTGCAGGACCTATGTTGTAAATGAAATGAGATTAGTAAAAAGGTGGTTTTTTTTCTTTTTTTTCTTTTTTTTTTTTAAATCCTGTGACAAGGAGTCAGGAGCCTGTCTGCCATGGAATATTCCTGCAGTACCCGGGGCTGTGGTTTGTTTTACTAGTGGTGACTAGTTCAAGCCACATTTAGTCAATAAATATGAGATATGAGGTCACCCCGCCATTTAGCTGTTCCCCTGTCTACATATTTCACAGCTGGGTAGTAACCTTTTAACTAGCGTCTACCTCGGTGGGGAGTCTCCATAAAAAAAGAGCCAGGATCCCTTGGTCGTGGTGGGGGACCAAGGCGCAGGAGCACCACGGGGATTTCTGAGCAGGAGGGACCACGCTGAGCCTCGCCTGCTGCTGCTGGTCCGCAGCCAGGCGGTGCCCAGCTCCATGAGATGGAGCCACATGTCCCAAAATTTATCTCCATCTCCCCCTTTTTCCACGTGGAAATGGGCCGCAGGACAAATTCCGTCTAATTTCCCCAAATTTCCAAAGGGTCAGTTGATCCTCTTAACCACGTCTGATAGGATTTAACAAGAAAATCAACTTCTTCAAATGTTAATTCACCTCTACCCAAGTCCATAGCTTCTCCTCCGTGCCTTAGCCTTGCCCTGGGACGAGGAGGACACCTCCTTGGCTTTTCAGCTCATAATTCAGGCTATGACTGGTCAAGATGAAGTATTCCCGAGCCCATCAGCCAAGCTTCCCACCAGCACAAGGTGCAACGAGAGCAAACTTTCCATGATGGTGCCAAGTAAAACCAGGAAAAGATGCACCCCCAGCTCTGCCCTGACCCGATTTGAGACCCCCAGGGTTTCAAGTAAATGGATCAGCTGCTGCTGTCCCTGCAGTCCTCCTCCGTGCCCACCCTGCCTCATCTCCAGCACGGCCCCACAAGGGGCTCGGCATCAGCAGTCCACAAGAAAGCAGCAAGCGTGAGGAGGGAGCTGAGCCAAGGCGCCTGGCCCACCTCCAGAAAGGTATTTAGGTACCTAACAGAAATGAGATGCTTGAGTGGATATGGCGAGAAGCGGGCAGGGAAGAGAAAGCAAACCCGCGAGCGAGAGAGGCCGTGGTGAGGGAGGGAAGCCGTGGAGCAGCCCACGGAGCTCTGCTGCTTTCCACCAGCCACCAACGTCACGCTGGAGTACGTGCGCTGGAGGCGAACGGAGCCGCGGGGACCTCGGCTGGCCCCGAGCTCCTGCTGGCCTCATCCTTCCCTGCAAAGCGCCGTACCTGCGGCACGGCTGCCAACAGCGAGCCCGGGGAAGGGGGGAGAAGCTCTTGCCCGTGGAGCAAGGTGCTGCGCTCCCTTCCAAGCATTGCACACAGTCTCCAAGAGGCCGGCCAGGAAAGCAGCGGCCTGGCGCTGGCAGGGTTGTGGTGATGGCTCGGGTGAGCGGCCGGCTCCTGCCCCCGGCACGCCGGGAATCCCAACCCGGCTCTGCCTCCCCGACGTCACGGCCCAGGCTCGGCACCAGCAGACGCGGCTCCGGCGCCGGGAGAAGAGGCCAGCTCCTCCCAGCTCAGCTGGAGCCTCCAAAATCGGAACCTCTGCTGTCAGCTGCCTTTTATAGGGCTATAAAACCACAAGTTCATGTACAGACGTTGGCCGGGATCAGCCTCGGCCACCTTCAGCATCGCTTCTCGACGTCTTGCATGTCCTCCATCTCCAGAGCCTCCTTCCCTCGTGCCCAGCCACCTGCAGCCCCAAAGACGGACAAGAGGACATGGAAAGAAGGACATGGAGCCATGCCAGCCCCCACCAAGTGAAAAAGGTACAAGCCAGGCAGTGAAGCACCCCATCATCCTCACGGTGCTCAATGGCACAGCCCCTAAACCCCACCAGCAGCCCCCAGCCCCTCGCGGCATTTCGGTGGCCGTGCCGCCCGCTGTCATCAGGCGCAGGGAATAACGCGCCCGTAATGCTGGGCCCTGCGACAAGAATAACATGAAATAACACTGCACCCACCCACTGAGAACACCAAGTGTGTCACACTCCTCTGTGTCATGGGTTTAAAAATAGCCCCCTCCTTTCCCCCCGCCCCTTTTCTTTTTCTTTTCCCATTTATTTATGGGTTTTTTGGACACCC